AAAACAATGATGGATTGAAAAGTCAAGAAATATCAAATAATTTATTATTTACTTAAACTAAAATAATATGAAAAGAGAATGGCAATTGATGAGATTGATATTAATGAATGTTTATGAATTATTGTTACAGAAGATAACAAATATATTGTTAATCCAAGAACTAGTTCTGAACGTAAAATTAATCATAAAATATATGAAATAGAAAAAGTAATAAATTATAATGAAGAATATGAAAAATAATAATCAAAATGATAATTTGATTTTATTTTAATGATTTTATGGTTTATATTTCAATACTTCCAAATAAATGATAATGAAAACATGAATAATTATAACTATTTTTATACATTATATTAATGTATATTTTGGATATATAATTAACAAATAATTAATACTTATTATATTTATAATGATATCAATTAAATATTATAAAATATTCATTTTTATTTTAATTAAAATGAATATAACAAATAAAATAAGATATTGTTATATTTAATAGAAAACAATATTTATATTTTTATTTATCTTTATCCACTATTTTATTTTATTAAACTAAATATTAAATTAAACCTTCTTCAATTAGACAATTAATGTGATTATTCCAATTATCATCACTACCTTTATTATGTCTATTGATACTCCCTTTGAACATACTCCTTCAATACATTTATTATTGTTATAATCAAATTTATATCCTGAATCACAATATGATAGTACCATTTTGTACTCCACTCTCCATTATCTCCACATTCATATCCTCCATGTCCATGTTCTATATTAATTTCTTTATACTTATCAGCTATTTTCAATGTTTGTTCTTCAATTTCTTTTATCTTATAATTTGAAAATTGATAAATATTCACTCTTTCATCTATCATATCTGTTAAGAATTCTCTAGGAATATTTTCATTATATTCATAATTAAATCTATACGTTTCAATAAAACTTATTCATTATTTATATCCATAATATTTTATCCATAGATGTGAAATTACAGGAATAGAATCATCAATAACAACAGTTGGTGATAACCCTACTTCAAATTCTTCATCCTTACCATAGATCACCACTAAATCCAACAAGAATAGCTTATCAACATTCTTTTAATCCTTTTGTAACAAGTGAACAAGCAGAATAACAATATGAATCTGTATAAACTACTATTTCTGTTGGTTTTCTTGGATTTTTCATTATTTTCTTTTTTGGAAAAACTTCAATTGAAGGTTGTGTAATTTTATGTTCAACATCACCATATTTAATAATATTTGGTTTTGTATACAATTCTCCAAGTGAGAATAAATTTAAAAGAGGAACACTACTTATAAATTTTCCTCTTCTTCTTTGGCATGTCTCTGGTTCATATAAATTTACTGCATATCCTTTTTTAATAAAGTTTCTGAATAATCTGATATTCTTGTTGATCTAATATAATTAACATCATCATGTGGTGATATCTCTTTTCTATCCATTGTGAATAAATAATATAACCTCCTCCATTCTTTGGGAATATTACTTGAATAGGATAATTATTAGAATCAAATAAATCAATACATTCTGTAATTGTATCTTCA